TTGTGTTACACACATGCTTTACATAATTGACCTTAATCTTCAGCTTTTATTTTACAGATGAAGAAACGAGGCAGAAAGCACTAACTTGATCAAGGCCACAGTTGGTAAGTTGACAGAGACAGGCCTAGAATGTCAGCTTTGTCTGGCACCGGTCCTCTTTCCTATCCTCCTTCAGATTCTTTGGAATTTAAAGCCTCCGGCAACCACACATAATTCTATTTCATCCCCCTTCCCTCAACCTTTAGACTGTGATGGACTGAAGGGTCTGAAGTACACTAGGAGTCAAGAGCAGATCCAAGGAAAATTTTGGATCTCAAGGGAAATTTTCCCGTTGAGGCAGAAGCTACAAGATGAACCAAAAAAACTAATTCAGTGATGTTTTTCAACCTTTAGGCCATGGACCCCTTTGAGAAACATATAGAAATGGATCCTAGAAATATGCACATACGGCCAGGGTCAGTGGCTCACGCCCATAATCCCAGCACTTTGGGAGGCCAAGGTGGGTGGATCACGAGGTCAGGAGTTCGAGACCAGCCTGACCAACGTGGTGAAACCCCGTCTCTACTAAAAATACAAAAATTAGCTGGGTGTGTTGGTGCATGCCTGTAATCCCAGCTACTCAGGGATCAGGAAGGTGAGGCAGGAGAATCACTTGAACTCGGGAGGTGGAGATTGCTGGGAACCAAGATCACACCACCGCACTCCAGCCTAGCGACAGAGACTCCGTCTCAAACAAACAAAAAAAAAGCACATACATTTTTGTATACTACTTCAAATAGCACCCCCCCTCCAATCTCATCAGTGGGCCCAAAGATCCATAGACCACACCCTACACATATACATTCCATTATGAGGACCTAAAAAGATATAATAGGGTTTGATTTGATGAACAATCTAGTGGCCTTAGAATAGGGGTGATTAAATAGCAATAGAAGGGCTATTTTCTAAACTAGATGTTTAAGAAAAGATTAAAGGGAATAAGGATGTATCAAGATGCAGGGCAAGGTGTGTTTCTGATTCAGTAAAACATTACCGGGTATCCTTTCTTCCAAATTCCTAGTACCTGACAAACAGCAAAAAAAAAAAAAAAAAAAAAAAGCAAGCAACACTCCAATGCCCTTTTCTTTTTTTCCTTTTTTTACTTACATTAAATACATCGGTAAATCAGCAGTCGCATTCTGTTACCACGATTGTTATGTTGGGAGAGGAAGAAAGGCAAATGCTTTCTTAGAAGCGAAACAAAAACAAAAAACCAAAACACCCCCCCTTAAAAAAACTGACCAGAAGAAAAAAATGAGCTGGGAAATAATACAAAAAAATAAACTAAGATCCCCAAGCCCAACAGAGCTCAAAGGAAGGCAGAAGAGGTGGTAGGAAGTAGAGGGAAGGCAGCCGATAGGCCCAGAAGCTAAGGCCAAATCCTTTTCCTATGGGGGTGGGGGAGGGAGAAGCCTGGGGAAGTGGTTTCCCAGCCCCAAGACAATGAAACATCTTCACTCTGCTCCATGGGGGAAAGCTGCACAAAGAAAGAACTTCATTTCTAGGAGACTTTAGAAAGCCATCCTAGTTCTTCCACTTGTAAAATAGATGCACTGGGTGCTTTGTGGGGGTCAGTGGCTTCTGGGAAAGGAAGGGGGAAATGTGTGTGTTTCAGGGCCATGGGAACTAAGGCTGCCCCTGGAAAAGGAAGGGAATTGAGGCCTAAGTGGAAGAAACTAAGCTGGGTCCTTCAGAATCTCAGCTTCATAGATTTCTCAGCTGTTGTGGGATAGAAGGTAGTCTGCAAGCCAGAACAGCAAAAAGGTTCCAATCCTAGGTCACTGTGACCTTTCCTTTCTCTTTCTTTCTTTCCCAAAACTCTAGGCTGGAACAAGGAACTTAAAGTTCTCTTTTGTCTTGATGGCTTCTCAGAGACATCTTAAAACACCTGATAAGGGATATGAAGAGAGACTAGAGATTCAGAAAGGACCAAGGTCCTCTGATAATATGAGCCAGTTGTAAGGTACCTTCAGTGCTGGTCATTCCCTGTCCACAGGAACAGGTGGTATGATATGAGGGCACCACAGGAGGCCTCTGTGGTACTAGCCCCTAGTGGTACATGGATTAAACCACTGGTTGCATGGTGGGGAGGGATGGGGAGATTAAAGATGGAGGGACTAAATTCACCCATCCATCTGCTACAAACACTAGCTCGTGTTTCGCAGAGGAACAGTTCATGATCCAACACCCAGGTTCGGATGCGTACCATCACCAGATTCTGGGAGTTCACATTCCTTTTGGGCAACTTAACTTAGACTATTTTTTACAGATAAAAGAGAAGGAGAACAAAGTATGGTAGACCTATACACTCCACATCTGCCCCCCACCCCCCAAAAATGCATACTGAAGTTGGAGGGAAGGAGAATTTGGGAGAGTAAAGAATGTTCACGAAGGATTAGAGGGTTTTTCCACTGTGGCAACTTTTTCATTTTTTGTTTAAATATTATTTTTTTTGAGACGAAGTCTTGCTCATTAATATCAGCCAGGCAGGAAGTCCAGTGGCACAATCTATACAAGCTCACTGCAACCTCCACCCTCACAGGTTCAAGTGATTCCTCTGCCAGCCTCCACAAATAGACTGAGACTCACAGGCGTGCGCCACCAACACCCAGCTAATTGTTTTTTGTATTTTTTTAGTAAGAGACAGTCTGTTCACCACTTTTTTCTGCCAGGAGGTCTCATCTTCTGACCTCA